GAAAAAAGGGTCTTTGAGAATCACAGCCATGCCACTGGGGCATGGAAAAGGGATGTGATGGAGGAATCTGTGCTCTTCCCTTCCGTGCATATCCATAGTAAATAGATGGGTATCATCTGCTCAATAGTAGGGTGTAGCTTTTGTAATATTTCTACCACCAGAACACACTCCCCAGAAATAAAACTTCAAAACCGTAGATGCCTTGGTTTAACTGGACTATTAAGATAAGTAAAAGTATTAGAAATTAGAAGAAGCAATCTTAAAAGCGTGATGCTTTTAAACAGAAATTAGTCATCTGTCTGCCTGCCTATCTGTAATTTAAAGAATGAAGATATGTCTATGTCAAACGAGTTGGTTTTTTTCCCCAGAGGACATAGGGTTTAATCAAGCTTTACTACCTCAGTAACCTTTTGTAAATGGTGAGGCATGACTGACATCAGAGTAGGATTGAAAAAGAGAAGATATTTAAGTTCAAATCTGGATGTAAAGATGTCAATCTCACTAATGCAAGTTAGAGTGAGTATATATATTGATTTAAACTGAGAGTTTTCTACTTTCTGTGCAATCAAGGAGCAGGTCAGAAGTTGAAAGCAGAAAAACAAAGTAAATGCCTGTCCTGGTAAACCACGACAATGCCTGAAGGAGGTCTCTTTCTGTGTTTTGGGTCTCATTCAGATCCTGTCAACATTGCATAAGCACAACTCCATCTATCAGATCTACATTACCGTTTTGATGGAAATGAAATGTCTCAGTAAAGCTTTCTTCAGACATTTTTTCATCTGAATACCTTTAGACTTCCTTTCTTTTCCTGTATTTTTATTTTTTCCCTTTTTAAACAATAAAGCATCAATAAGACATCAGGTTGTTTGCAGGTTTTGGAATATTTTCACCTTACTCAAAATCACAGTGGTTGGAATCTGTTTCTGTGTTCTGATTCATCAGGTACTTCCATCGTAACAGGTGACATGAGTGTAGCAAAGAACTAAGCGTTTTTTTTCTCCTTATGCCACGTGCAATTACATCTATTTTAAGTGGTCTGATAATTGCATTTTAAACAGCACTTATTATTCTTTTAGTTATATCTAAATGGATTTTTATTGTTATAGTAAATAGTTACTAAAGCCCTCTGAGGGAGAAAAAGCTCCACACACTTTCAAGCAAACAATTCGAGCCTGTACATTAATCTTTACCTTTAAACAAACAGCAATAATTAATGGGAGTTGGGCACCTTGCTGTATTGTACAGTGACAGAGATTAAACACTGGCACTGCAAAATGCCAGTTTTCAGCTTCTGCATTTGTAGACCCTTCAGAGCCATGAACTGACATTTGCAATCTTTGTCAGTCAAAAAAAAAAATGGCAAATTCAGTTAAATTTAGTTCTGCCATTCAAACGAAATGAAGGTCATCACCTGCCCCTTTTGTGATTTGATTATCCAGGGACTGAGTTTATTTTCCTGAAGAAAGATACATTAAAAGCACCCAATTCTGCAAATATTGCTCCATCTCAGCAGTTCAATTGGCTTAAATTATTAATTATTAATCATTAACTGACTTAGCTATTGTTGTTTATTTAAGAGTACAGATTAATATATAGCCCTGAACTGCTTAAGCGTTTTTCCTTTCCTAGAGCTCTCACAACCATTCCAAAAAAACAAACACACTTTGAAATTACAAAAATTAGTATATTAAATAAATATAATTTATAATTCAATTACTGGCTTTTTGAAATGCTATAGTTATGTATTGTTTACATTACCCAAAATATTTTTATTGACTTCATTTGGACTACTTATATAAATAAAGACTCCAGGTCCAATCCTTCTACCCAAGAAGAGAAGGAAACTCTGAAGCAAGCTCTTGAATTCCAAACCATTATGTGCATAAAGCCAGGACCAAAGCATCATGCTTTCAAGGAGAAACATGCTTGACATGTTCCACAATCCTCTCCATATACTGCTCCTGCCTTTATGGCATTCCCATCTCATCTTCACTGACTCCCTCACCGAAACCCTGAAACTGGGGTTAGGAGTGCAGCAGACTATAAGCATCACTTTTTGACCCAGTACTTCTTGTAAGAAGTGGGTTTCCTGAGGTTACTGTGAGAATGAATTGTGGCAGAAGCCCAAGTCAAGGACACAGCAGTGCAAGTGCCAGTTAAAAGAGAATTAATGTCTGACCTTGTGGAAGTGGACTACTTCATGGATTAAAAACCATCTGTAACAGGGGGAGTCTTCACTTCTTTACCTGCCACACTCCTAATGTCTTCTTCTTCCAGGGACAACAATGTAAGGAACACCCTGAAAAACCTCAGCAGGACCACTAATTTGGTCTTGAATATTTCCTATTGCATATGGGACCAAGGACATATGTAGTAATGATTTAAGCAGCATTCTGGGGATATATTAAGGATATATCCTTCTGGGGATAATATTAAAGACTGCTAAATGATTAGCACATAATCTGCTATTTGAACACAGTGGATTTTTGTAATGCATTTTTTCACTACGCTGGACTGAAGGGGGCATCCTATAGGTGCACCACAGGTCAGCTTCCAGTGTTGCAGTGCTATGTCATGAAATAAGAAAGCTCATTCATTAGCATATGAATCAGCTCTCCACAGAAAGTGGTAGAACTGCAGAAGAGGAAAAGCCATTTTGCTTTAATAATAACAGCCTGTAAGAGGCAATCCCAGGCACAAAATGATCAAGTGACCAAAGCCAGTTCAGTGAAGAATGACAGCATTTTATGCTCAACACTTCAAGATTAAAGTCTTTAGTTAGCAAAGCATAATGTGAATCAGTTTCATGTATAATGCATTGTGTGAGCCCATAGCCACTATGATACAATGTAAGCAATTCCATTTAGTGCAATTTGACTATAGCTAGTACAGAATAATTGGAGTCAGTTTCTAGCATGCTAGAATTTGAGTCAAAAACGGTATGGAAAAGAATTTGATACATAATAACACCGAGCTGCAGATAACAAGCAATGACGTGGATGGATAGTTAATATTCTATACTATGCAAGTCACCTTAATACGTTGTGATGTGATTATGAGTCCAGTGTTCTTATATACAGACAAAAGGCTAATACATCACAGTAGAAAGGCGACTATTAAGAAACAGTATAAATAATGACACAGAGCTGCATTGGAGGAGAGTGCAACATCAAATACTGCAGTTTTCTCAAATGTAAGAGTGAGGGAATAAACATCTACACAAGGATAAAAATGGCTACTCAAGAGAACACTGGACATATTTCAGAGCAATTTCTCATATTTCAGAGGTGGCGTTAATGCTACACTGGGCAATTTCAACTCCTTCTCAGGAACTCAGCCCTTTCCATTCTTTTTCTCTCATTATTAGAAACAGTTGTGAAAGTTCTCGCCTCTTGGATACTCTGGGCCTCAATCCTTTGTGCAAATAGTACGGTTTGAAGACTTGCCCCTTCCATGAGGTTAATAATGTATGATTAGCTAAAGAACTACAGTGTTTTAAAGCAAGCACATAAACATTAACATGACAGATCTGCATGTAAACATTTTTGGTTTTCTAAAATTAATACAGAAAACAGCAAAAATGTGCTATTATTGCAACTTGTGACTGCGTTCAGTTTAAAACCAATGGACACTAGTTCATTGAAATTTTTTTTCTCTTCCTAAATTTACATGAGTCTAACCCTGTGTACCTGAGAAGAGCTCATTTATGAGCATGTGCTAATCAGTTCTGACTACAAGTTTAAGTCATCCCTGAGCAAACAGAAAACTATTCAGCTTAGCAATAAAGTTAAATAATTATTACCAGGCTATGTGATGTGACTACAATGTGACATTGAAATGACTATGGCGTGATTAGAATAAGAATGTTATATGCCTGAGATGTTACTAGAATGAGGCTATAAAACGTCTGTGATGCCATACTGCTGTGATATGACTAGTGTCAGGAAAAATGTGTGCATTATTAATGCATACATAAACATGCCGTATTTCAGAAGCAGACTGCATTACACAGAATGCTAGTAGTTCTAATTACCTTCTATATTAATGGTTGTTCTGCTTTGTATTTTAAAAGGTAAAAGAACTGTGTACTTCATTCATTCATAGAATTTTTTTTCTAAGGTTTGGCAGTAAGGTTGCTCCTTCATGTCACTTGCTTGATTTTCAATGCCGGGGCTCTAGTCATCCTTCCTGTATTACATAATGAACATTTTTCTTAAACTATTATTAGATTCAGTTCCCTTTTCTAGTGTTACTTGATATCATCGAAACCGGGATCAATTTTTTTCTGTGTATATCTGTAACAGGAGTCTTTTGGAAACAAATACAAAGCACAGCAAAACTAAGAGCGTTTAATCTTTACACACCATGGGATTAGAGGATGTGCAATGTTCGCATACAGCGTCTGCATCCGTATGACTTGCACGGATATGTACATTTATCAGTATGTGCCACACAATTCCAAGCCATGCAAATTACTGACCTCTGACAGGTACAAGTAGCTTCCACCATCAGTTAACAGTGCGTCCTACATGCAGACACATATGGGAGTCTAAGGGTAGGAGCCTGCATCTGACAATGTAAAATCTTCAAGGTAGAACTTGGATCGTTAGCTCACCAACGCTATCAACTGAAAATATGCAAATCAGATAGCACCACATAAAGTCAAATACTGATGTTATCTTTGGATTTTTCTACACATATATATTTGGAAGGCTTAAACAGAACCAGAGGCCAGTATGGCCACACACCTGGGCATACTAAATTAGATAGGTTCTGTCATACAGCTTGTAAGTTCAAGCTGAGAAAAGCTAGCAATAAAAGCACAGTCAAATGAAGGTTCATTCATGCTTCAGAAAACGTTGAAAAAGGCACTACATATAATGCACTATAATCATCTTCTTGTCACACTTTTGAGGTCACTCATATCGTAATACATTGGCATTTTATTACAGTGTCTTCTAGGCATGTGATGCTTCTTTGTGGCTAGCTGGGTAATTTACCTGTGTCATTTATGGGGAAGGCGAAACGATCACTTTTATTATTTATCAAACC